TTGAAGCTATAGATTGCTTTGAGTAGTATGGACATTTTAATGATGTTAATTCTTCCAGTCTATGAACATGGAATATGCTTCCACTTGTTTGTATCTTATTCTATTTCTTTTATCAATGTCCTATAGTTTTCTGAGTACAGGTTTTTTTTTTTTTTACCTTCTTGGTTTAGTTTATTCTTAGGTATCTTATTATTTTTTTGTTGTTGTTGCAATGGTAAAGGAATTGTTTTATTTAGTTTCTCTTTCAGAGAGATCATTATTGGTGTAATAAATGCCACCAATTTCTGGTTGTTAATTTTGTATCCTGCTACTTTGCTGAATTAATTTATTAACTCTAGTAGTTCTTTTGTGGATTCTGTATGTACAATACCATGTGATCTGCAAATGACAGGTTTACTTCCTCCTTTCCAAATTTGATGCTTTTTATTTTTCTTCTTGTCTGATCACTGTGGCTAGGACTTTAAGTACTGTGTTGAATAATAGTGGTGAAAGTGGATATCTCTATCTTGCTCCTGTTAAGGGAAATGCTTATAGTTTTTTCCCACTGAGTATGATGTTGGCTTTAGGTTTGTTGTATATGACCTTTATTATTTTGAGGTACGATCCCTCTGTTCTCACTTTTCTGAAGAGTTTTTATCAAAAATGGGTGCTGGATTTTGTCAAATGCTTTTTCTACATCTATTGATATGATCATGTGATTTTATCCTTCCTTTTGTTAATGTGATGTATCACATTTATTGATCTGCAAATATTGTACCAGTCTTGCATCCCCAGAATAAATCCCACTTGGTCATGGTGTGTGATCATTTTTATTGTATTGCTGGATCCTATTTGCCAATATTTTGTTAAGTATTTTAGCATCTATGTTAATCGGGGATTTTGGCCTGTAATTTTCTTTCTGTGTAGTGTCCTTACCTAGTTTTGAAATTAAGATAATGCTGGCCTTGTAAAAACATCTTGGAAGTCTTCCTTCCTTTTGAATTTTTTGGAATAGTTTGAGGAGACCAGGTGTTAGTTCTTTTTTGAATATTTGGTAAACTCCCCGATGAAGCCATCTGTTCCAGAATTTTTGTTTTGGGGGAGATTTTTTTAAATTACTGCTTCACTTTCATTAGTTGTTATTGGTCTGTTCGGGTTTTCTCATTCTTCCTGATTAAGTTTTAGAAGATTGTATGTTTCTAGGAATTTGTCCATTTCTCCTAGGTTGTCCAGTTTGTTAGCACATAGTTGTTCAAAGTATTTTTTTATAATCCTTTGTATTTCTGTGATGTCAGTTGTTACCTTACCTCTTTCATTTCTGATTTTATTTATTTGGGTCCTCTCTCTTTGTTTCTTGATGAGTCTGGCTAAAGGTTCATTAATCTTGTTTATTTTTTCCAAGAACCAGTTCTTTGTTTCATCGATCTTTTCTATTTTTTTCCCCTTAGTCTCTATGTTATTTATTTTTGCTCTAATCTTTATTATTTCCTTCCTTCTACTTACTCTGGGCTTTTCTGGTTTTTTTTTTGTTTTTGTTTTTTTAATTTTACCTGAGGATATTTTCCCATTGATTTTTAGGGAGAGTGGAAGGGAGGGAGGAAGAGAGAGAGAGAGAAAAAAAAAAAACAATGTGTGAGAGACATGTCTATTGGTTGCCTCCTGCATGACCCTGACTGGGGACAGGGGTTAAACCTGCAACCCAGATCCGTGCCCTTGACTGGAATCAAACCCTTGACCCTTCAGTCTAAGGGCTGATGCTCTAACTACTGAGCCAAACTGGCCAGGGCAATGGGCCTTTCTTTTTGTTCTCTTTCTAATTCTTTAAGTTGGGGGTTAGGATAGTTTATTAGAGATTTTTCTTATTTCTCATGGTAGATCTGTAGTGCTATGCACTTCCCTCTCAGGACTGCTTTTGCTGTGTCCCATAGATTTTGGGTTGTTGTGCATTCATTTTCATTTGTTTCCAGGAAGTTTTTTATTTCTTCCTTGATTTCATTGGTAATCTGTTCATTGTTTAATAACATGCGATTTAGCCTCCATGTGTTTGAATGATTTTGAGTGTTTTAACATTATATTTTCAGATAAATGTTTTTAAAACATCACTATACCATTATCTCACGTAAAAAATTACCAGTAATTCTTTAATATCATGAAATAGGCATTGTTACAATTTCCAATTGTCTTACATCATAATTTATAGTTTGTTTCAACCCAAATCTAAATAATGTCTATATACATTACAATATTTTGATATGACTTTTAAATTTCTCTTAATCTGCAGGCCCCCCTTCCATCTCTCTTCTTTCTCTCTCTCTTTTTTTTTTTTCCTTGAAGTTTATTTGTTGAAGAAGTAGGGTTCTTTTTTTTTTTTTTTTTGGTCCTATAGAGTTTCATAGTCTGGAAATTGCTGACACTTTACAGTTGTAAAAGTGAGCTTATTGCAAAATCAACTCCACAAATACTGTTAAAAAAATTTACTAAATGGCCTTTTTCCTCAGTAATCATGTCATCTTTCTTTACTTTTTCTTTCCTCCCTACTTCCTGAATCTATTTATCTTGATCACCTCTGAATCAATAAGAAAAAGTTCTGCAAAACTGCCATCTGCTTTCCTCTGGGGTTTATAACTTAAAACAAATTTTCCTCAATTGAATTCAAATTGAATAACAGCATTGAAACCAAGGATCCCTCATTAGTCAGTTTGTTATTTCAAAGCATTTTCTATTTACTGTGCTTTATTTAGAATACAGGATAATCCTGTGAAGGCAATTCTGTTTGTTCAAAATGGTGTATAATTGGAAATAATTGCAATTCCCTCTCTGACATAAAGCCTCAAATTTTTTTCCTAGAGAAATTTAATTTATTAGAAACATTTTACCATCTGAATTTATTAATGTAACATTTCTTTTAATTTATGTTCCAAATTAGTGAGGTTGTACTACATCAAGAAATAATCACAATTTTAAATCTAAGTCTTTTTTAAATTTATTTTTTTATTGTTGAAAGTATTACAGATGTTCCCCCCTTCCCCCCCATTGACCCCCTCCTCCCCACTCCCACCCCCTCCTGCTTTCCCCAAACTAATGTCTGTGTCTGTAAATCTAAGTCTTAAAGATCACTCAACCGAAGTTTGCATTGATTTCTTTTTTTTAAATGTATTATAATAGCATCAACATTATACATACAGGTAGCTTAAAAAGTTAGTAAGAGTCTTAGGCTTAAAAAACAAACAACAACAACAACAAAAAACGCCCTGGCCTGTTTGGCTCAGCAGTTAGAGCATCAGCCTGCAGTCCAGAGAGACCCGGGTTTGGTTCCTGCTAAGGGCACGTACCTCGGTTGCAGTTTGTCCCCAGTGGTTGGGTTGTGCGGGTGGCAACCACTCAATGTGTCCTTTTCACGTTGATGTTTCTCTCTCTCTCTCTTTCTTTCTCTCTCTCCCTCCCTCCCACTCTACAAAAATGTCCTCGGTGAGGATAAAAAAAAAACACAAACTGCCCGGCCGGTGTGGCTCACTAGTTGAGCGTCCACCCATGCACCAAGAGGTTGCTGGTTCAATTCCCGGTCAGGGCACATGCCCAGGTTGTGGGCTCAATAACCAGTTGGGGGCATGCAGGAGGTGGCCAATCGGTGTTCTCTCTCATCAGTGTTTTCAATCTCTCTCTCTCTCTCCCGTCCTCTCTCTCTGAAATCAATAAAGGAAAAAACCCACACAAACCAGCAGTCCCTTTCCCTACATACCCTACCTTGGACACTTTGTCTCTGTAGGCACTCAGCACTTGACAACCAACTTTCCAAAATGTTGTGGACATCTCTCATTCACTGTCACTGCCTTTCTTATTTCCTCTGCCTTTGGGGTATTATACCTTTTCAATTTTTTTCTGTGTAATTCTTGTGGTGTTTGGGAAGAAGTAGAGATGTGTGTATGTGCGCACGCGCACGCATGCGCTCAGTTTGCCATATTTTAATTTTGTAGTTCCTTCGTTGAGAGCCCAGAATGGTATAAAAGTTGGCACCCAACCCCTGAACCCTCAATGTCTCCTTATTTGAAGGGATGGGTCTTTGGGCTGGCTCAGCAAAAGTGTCATCCTGCATTTTCTGACACAGTCTTCTGGCTTCCAGAAGGCTGTGGTGAAGTGTGTCCCTCTTCCTCATGGAATGGCACTTCTGAGAGCTCCATATGCCATAGTGAGAGTATCTGCTCTAGCATCTTCACTTTTGACCTTTCTCCTTAGGAAGGACTGTAGTGTTGGTCACTTGCCTCCAACCCTGAGCACCACCCCTATGTGTAACTTTTGTACCCTGATTCTTCTCTCTTTGGGGCATGTGTTCCCCCACGCATGTCTCTCGGGGATACAAAAGAGGTTAGGGTATGACCCTTGTGGAGTGGTATGCTGGTAAATTAACAATTGGCCCTCCAGGGGGACATAAACCCTGATTTGTAGCATTTGCCGATTTCTATGGTGTAAATATTCCTACCAAGGCTGATTTCAGGCTACCAGTGGGACTTGGAGTTGGGAATAAAGGTGCACAACTGTCACTTTGAGCAGTATGAGCTACTCCTACACAACACTGCCCTTGGGAACAGGACTCAGGGGTCTTCATTCAGGACTGCCGGGCTCAAGGATGAAGTCACAAGTTCTTTTCATTGAGCTCCTCAGTTACTCCCACTGGGCTGACTCCACCGACCCTATGAGTATGCCTGGTCTGCATGAATGTGCTGGTTCACACACCTGGGACTCCACCCTGGGTCAAGAGAACTCCCAGTGCTGTTTTGCCTTTCCTATTAGCTAAAAATGTGTCTTCTGGGTCAGTCTTAATTGTATGTTTTTACTCTGCTTTGATGTCCTCAGAAAAACCTCTTTGTAAAATTAATTTTCTGCATTAATATGAAATTGATGATATGTAGACCTTGTGTTGTATCCAGGTAAACCCTTCCTACAGTGCTATAACAATGGAAGAATCAGGTGAATGGGAGTCCTTAATCTGCAGTTCTATTGATGGTGTTTTCTTTCTCCCACAGTTGACAGGCCTGTCAGAGTATATGCAGATGGAATATTTGACCTCTTCCACTCAGGCCATGCAAGGGCACTTATGCAAGCAAAAACACTATTTCCCAACAGCTACTTGTTGGTAGGAGGTAAGAAGTGCATTTTCTCTTTGTCTTGAAAACTCCTTTATAATCTGCTTCCTGAAAAGGACCCCTTTCAGAGTTTCATCATTAAAATCTCACATCATTAATGCTCCCAATTTAGCCTGTATTGGCTCACATGTTTGCTGCCTGAAATTTAAAATGACGTTTAAAAAACCATAGGGGAAATTACATCATATGATTTACACATCACTGATCCCCAGAGAGAGACAGGGTAACTGCTTCACGTTTTCCATTAATGCTTTTTTTCTTATGTTTGAGGCATGATCCAATTTGTGTTTCTAAAATTTTCTAGAGAGTTAGGAGAAAAGCAGTATTATTCAAATGTCAAATCTTGGAGAGCTGAAAGGGGTTCAGAATGATTAAGGGTAAACAAGGTCATTGTCTATTTCCCTTGTGTGACCCACAGCACTGAGAATGATGATGTGCTAACATTAGTGATTTATAATAGCCCCAATTAGTTGAATTTATACACAGTGTGTTAAAGAAATGGAGATTTCTATACCCAAGTAATTTTGGTTCATAATGAAGACACTTACTTACTTCCTAAGCATGTGGAGAGAGAAGGCTGGTTATGAGAGAAATGAAATTTTCCTTCTCCAGAAGGCCTACAGAGTCCAATTTGGGTAAAAGGGATAATATCTGACTAGGGAAACCTGTATCTCACCTTTGTAGTTTCTGAAAGCAGCATAGCCTTTCACCATGATCAGTTTTTGTGGCATTACATGAACCAGGCACCATCGACTCTTAGACTTCTACTGTGCAAATAAAGATGCTGGTAAGAGACTGTGTATCTTTTTCTTTTTTTAAGAATCAGTATCTTCTGCAAATTTTTGAATGTTTAAGAGGAACCCATCAGCAGATTTTGCTGAGGATGGTGACCATATTGTTATTGAAAGGACTTCTTCCCCAAAGGAGATGATAAAAGGCAATGGCTACTGGACAGGTCATGCAGAAGGAACCCATCCCTTGTTCATTTCCCTTTTTCTTGAGTGGAAGACCATTTCTTAAGTGAGCACTACCACCTAGACTCTGGTCCTAAGCTGCTAGGACTGGGGGGAGACCTCTGTAGTACTGGGGCTTTGGTCATTTTGGTGACTCAAATATGGAGGTGGTTAGGTGTGGGTCACACTTACCAGGAACGCTAGCCATGGCCCTGAGTTATCACAACAAAGGTAAGATAAAAACAAATATGCAGCTTTCAGTACATTCTTGTAAGTTAGAGAAAGCAGTAAATTAATATCAGCAGCTCTCTAGGTCATTAGGCAACAATGATTTCACTGATTCACAGAATGATCCCTTCATTGTACAACTATTTATTGAGATCCTACTATGTGCCAGGCATTCTTCTGTACACTGAGGATGAAGCAATGAACAGACTATGTCCTCAGAGAACTTAGAATCTAAGGAGACAGACACTGCCCAGTAAACAAGTAAAAATATAGTAGTAGTACTATGAAGAAATATAAAATAGGGGAAGGGGAAAGCGTGACTGGTGGGGGAAGGAGAGATGTTTTAGGTAGGAAGGTCAGGAGAAGCCTCCTGGAAGTGTTGATATTTGTGCGGAGACCTAAATGAAGTAAGAGCCAGAACATAGAACCTTCTCTGTGCAGCGTTGTTTTCACCAGTCAAGATGATAATGTTGGGACAAGTGGAGAAGACATGGAGGCTGTTATTGATATGTTATTTTCTTGATCTGTATATCTTGAGGTTTTCCATGAGGGCACAGATGATTTAATACTCAGAAGAATTAATATGGACAGGAATTCAGAGCCATGAGTTAAAACAGAAGAGGACAAAAACTCCAATAAGAAATCCTGAACTTAGCAGCTATGGCAAAGGAGATTATTGGCCTGAATTTTCATTTCTTGTAATATCTTTGTTAAGTTTGGGTATTAGGGTAATATTGTTCTCATAGAATGAGTTAGGCAGTATTCTGTCTGCTTCTATCTTCTGGAAGAGATTGTGGAGAACTGATGGAGTTTTTTCTGTAAATGTTTGGTAGAATTCACTAGTGAACCCATCTTGGCCTGGTGTTTTCCCTTTTGGAAGGTTACTGAATATTGATTTAATTTCTTTAATAGATAAAAGCCAATTCAGATTGTCTAGATTTCTTCTAGTGTGAGTTTTGGCAGCTTGTGTCTTTCAAGGAAAAGGTCAATTTCATCTAGGTTATCAAATTTGTGGACATAGAGTTGCTCATAATATTCCTTTATCATCCTTTTAATGTCCTTGATATCTGTATTAATGTTTCCTCTTTCATTTCTGATATTAGTAATTTGTGTCTTTTCTCTTTTTTCTTATCTTGGCTAGAGGCTTATCAGTTTTATTGATCTTTTTAAAGAGCCAACCTTTGGTTTTGTTGATTTTCTCTATTGAATCCTGTTTTCAATTTCATTGATTTCTGCTCTGATTTTTATTATTTATTTTTTTCTGCTTACTTTGGATTTAATTTGCTCTTTTCAAGTTTCCTAAGGTGGAAGCTTAGATTATTGATTTTAGATCTTTTCTGTAATAAGACATTCAGTTCTATAAATCTCCCCCTAAGTTCTGTTTTCACTACATCCCACAAATTTTGATGTGTTTTCATTTAATTCAAAATAAATATCATCCTTGAAATTTATTCTTTGACGTGTGTATTATTTAGAAGTGTGTTCTTTAATCTACAAATATGTTGGGATCAGACATCATATGATTTCTATTATTTTAAATTGTTAACATGGGCCCAGAATGTTGTCTACCTCAGTGAATGTTCCACATGAGCTTGAGAAGAGTGTGTCTTCTCCTGTGGTTGGTTGAAGTAGTCATTAGATGTCAATTATTTCTAGTAGATTGGTGGTGCTATTGAGTTTATGTCCCTACTCATTTTCTGTCTGCTAGATCTGTCCATTTCTGATAGAAGGGCATTAATGTCTCCAACTATAATAGTGGATTCATCTATTTCTCTTTGCAAATCTATCAGTTTTTGTCTCATGTATTTTGACACTCTGTTGTTAGACACTTACACGTGAAGGATTGTTACGTCTTCTTAGAGTATTGCCTCCTTTATCGTTATGTAATGCCCCTTTTATCCTTGATAACTTTCTTTGCTCTGAAGCCTGTTCTGTCTGAAATTAATGTAGCTAATCCCACTTTTTTTTTCATCACTGTTAGCATGGTTTATCTTTTTCAATCCCTTTACTTCTAATGTATCTGTGTTTATATATAAACACACATATATGTATATACACACACATATGTATATATACACATATATGTACATACACACATATGTGTACACACATATATGTATATATACAGACATATACACGTGTGTGTGTGTGTATACACACACATATATAAATATATATATATAAGTGTGTATATATATATATATATATATATATATATATATATGAGAAGCATTGTTTGGCTGCCTCCTGCATGCCCCCCCTAATGGGGATCGAGCCTGAAACCTGGGCATGGGCCTGACCAGGAGTCGAACCAGGATCTCTCAGTCCATGGGAGGACGCTCAGTCCACTGAGCCACACCGGCCAGGCTGTGCTTTTATATTTAAAGTGGATTTCTTGTAGAAAACATAGAGTTGGGTCTTGTTTTTTTAACCACTCTGACAAGCTCTGTCTTTTCATTGGTAAATTTAGACCACTGATGCTCAAAGTAATTGTTGAGTTGGCTTAATATCTACCATATATTTTTTTCCTGTTTTCTATTTGTTGCCTTAGTTCTTTGTTTCTACTTTTGTCTTACACACTCTATCTGCCCTTTGTGGTTCTAACTGGGCATTTTATATGAATCTATTTTCTCTCCTTTCTTAGCATATCAATTATACTTTTTTCCACCTTTTTAGTGGTTGCCCTAGAGTTTGCAATATACAGTCTAACTAATCCAAGTCCACTTTCAAATAACACTATACCAGTAGTGCACGTTCCTTATAATAACAAAATATTTCTAATTCCTCCCTCCCACCCCTTGAATCATTGCTGTCATTCATTTCACTTATATGTAAGCATATATATATCTAATACATAATCGAATACATTGCTACTGTTATTATTTGGAACAAAGTGTTATCTGTTAGAGGAGTTAAAAATAAGAAATAAAAGTTAACTTATTCATTTTCTAATGTTCTTCCTTTCTTTATGTAGATTCAAATTTCTGATTCATATAATTTTTTTTCTCTCTGAAGAACTTTTACAAAATATTTTTTGCAAGACAGGTCTACTGGAAACAAATGTCCTCAATTTTTGTTTGTCTGAGAAACTCTTTATTTCTTTCCTTTTTTTGTTTGTTTGTTTTTATCCTCACCCGAGGACATTTTTGCATTTATCTTCAGATAGAATGGGAGGGAGAGAGGGAGGACGACAGAGAGAGACACATCAACTGGTTGCTACCCATATGACACCAACAGGGGCCGGGGACAAACTGCAACCGAGGTACGTGCCCTTAGCAGGAACCAAACCCGGGACTCTCTGGTCTGGGGGCCGATGCTCTAACCGCTGAGCCAAACCAGCCAGGGCTCTCCTTTCCTTTTAAAGGATAATTTTGCAGGATACAGAATTCTAGGTGAGTAGTGGGCTGTTTTTGCTCAACACTGTAAAATTTTTACTCCACTCTCTTCTTCCTTGCATTGTTTCTGTGAAATCCAATGTAATGTGTAACCTTGCTCTTCTATAGGTAAGGTGTTTTTCTCCCTCTGGCATCTTCTGAGATGTTTTCTTTGGCATTTAACCTCTTTGGCGTTACATAAGATGAGCGGGATCTCATTATTTGTGGATGAATATATTATTGCTAGAATGAGATATAGTTTAACATTGATTTTATTCCTATTTTTCCTTGTTACAGATGTAAATACTGAAATATTTTGTTCACACAAATATTTAGATGGGAATGGAAGAAGTTTGTTATAGTGATGCCACTTAATCAGTGAACTCATGAGCTATTTTCTAAATATCACAAAAATAATTTATTATTATTGTCATAAAAATAA